TTAAAAATCATTCGTGTAACTATTTCTTTGATAGGATACACAATTTGTATTGTCAAATGATTGAAATTAAATCCTTTTTGACAATAACAATATAGTTATAATTTCAATCATTTGACAATAGAATCTAAAATATTAAGTATTTTAATATTACTTGATTTTTACTATTATAAGGTGGTCAACTTCAACTTAGTTATGTGACTTCTATCTCTAAATTAGCAATGAACAAACTTTTATTAGAGAAAAAATGGATAGGAAAATATTTTTGTAAATTTGAAAGTTTTTATATTCTAATTTGATAAAGAAACTACTAGGTGGACACTTGCATTTTATTGCAAAGACACACTCTTATATCATGTACCTCCACATACATATAGTAATAACATTCATACTTAAATATTTTTTTAATAACTATATTGTTATTGTTAAAAAGGATTATGAAAAAAGAATAAAAGAAAAGAAAAAAAAAAAGACTTAATTGATATCTTATTTTTGTGCATGAATGGTTGATATTACATTTTAAAATTTATATGAATATTTCTTGTCAAAGAAAATAAATTATAAAATTCTATTGTCAAAAGATTGAAATTATAATGTCATTTGTTTTTGTTTTTGTTTTTTTGATTTAATATATTAAGGAAACTTCATATGCCTATGTAGTAAAAGGGGGGGGGTGTCTCCTAGCGATTCTCTCTAATAATTATTTATGAATAAATTTATGAATACACTATTTATTTCTGTTTAAATGCATTATTGTTCTCATGTTTTAATAACTATACAAAATAGATAATTGAATTTAATCCTGTTTCTTTTGTGTCTTCTAAAAATGCTATCAATACTCTAGGGCTTTCCTACCACACCACACCACAACACTTATTTAAATGTAATCTATACTAATAATCTTAGACTCATTGATAAACTAGGATTCAAAATTTGACATTTATATTTGTAACACATATGTTCTTTTTTTTCAATTGTTGCATACATCTCATGTTGTTGAATTTTTTTTGCATGCTAACATTTATCCTTGGCAATAACTTTTTAAATCCAAAATTAAAAAACCAAGTTTCTTAGTAGCTAAAATTCTTCCACATGTTTGTGAGACAAATTTGCCAACAAGTGGTACATCTCTTTTAAATTTGCTTCAAACCAATGAAGTAAGCTGTGATTATTTTATTTTATTTTATTTTTTTGATGAAAATCCATTTGTCATTTTTACTTTCCCAAAATCCAACAATACAAAGTCAACTTTTTTGTGAATCAAAAACTTGCTGTTCTCTATTGGTAGCATGTCCCTTTGTTTACCATGAGAGGGAAAAACATCAGCGTTCTTGTCAAGTCCATGATGGCCGCAATGAGATGATCAGGGCATCTTTGCTGTGTAATGTTAAGCACGGGACGGCAAAAATGATGCCAAGATCACCCACTTCCAAAACCCTAACCCTAACCCTAAATTTCTTGTCTATCTCAGTGATACTCTAGACCTGCACTTCTCAATCTTGGTCACTATCGCAGGGCACACCCACGACGCACAATGCTTCTCCACAGCCTAAGTTGGATTTGTTGGCTCTAGGGTTGTATTGGGTGGCTAATGGCACGCTCTCTGCGAGTTCTTAATTCGTGAAGTTACGTTTCCGGAGCTCCCCTGCCGTCCACCATCTTCTACCGGTCGTTGTGTTTCAGTTTTATATTTGGTTTAAGGTGTAAGTAGGATTCGGTGATTAAAGAATTGCTCTGCACATGTGCCCAACATGTGTCTTGCTGATAGTTGCTGTCGCATGGTTTACAGTGGCCCTTCACATCAATCATAGACTGTCCCTGTAAGAACTCTGAGCACAACCACATGCGGAACCACTTACAACTCTAGCTGAAAACACATGCTGTGTCTTTCGGAAACAGTGACAGAAACTTAAGCAAAGGTGAATTATTATTACTGTTACCATACGACTCTTCGGTGATGTTGTGTTCATTATCGCAAATGTCGGTAGGGTAAAGCTGATTTCACAGGTATAGGTAGTAGGTATGATGTTTTACTCTTCCAAGTTCTGGCAGTGGTCCATTTCCCGCTGATTTTCGAGTAAGACAACAGGTGTCTGTCGACGGACAATTTTTTTGCTCTTTTCAAGGCTTATTGATCAATGCCATCGGGATCCTTCAAGCATCACACAGCAAATACAAATCTCTGATAGATTCCTGAGAAAGTATGGGGGGTTTTATAATTTTCGAGTAATTTGTTGGACTAAAACCCAAACCACAGGATGAAGAGCAGATAGGCTCCTCGGCAACAGACAAACTAACTTTTAATTATTAGTCGCTGTTTTGACGGAACTAACTAGTACACGTATTGATGAGTTGTACCAAAGATTTTGTTTCGCGTCAGCCAAATTGAAAACGCTCAAGGACGAAAGCAAGCCAAGGTTTATCTTTGGGCTTGTATTTCTTCTTCCTTGCGGTACTTCAAGTAACGCATGACGTGCAAGTACAGGAGACCACTACTTCCAGGAGACAATTCCTGTGCAATTTTGGAACAAGTGGCAGCCATACCTTTTGGACGAAGTGGTCATTTAGGTGGATGACAAAAGCCTTCGTGAAAGTTTCAACCGACTCTCGGCAATGGCGGGCTGTGGAAGAGTTTCGACAAGTTCTGGGTTCCTACTAAATATCAGATTTGCGTGTACATAACTCTCTGAACGTATCTTTACAAAAAATTGGCTTATAAGAGAATAGCCAGGGCGACGTCGAGAACCTGAAACTGCCTGCCCGATTCAATGCATTCGTTTGTTCTAGTCGAACGAAAATGAAAAGCTGCGCGCAACTGCTCTCATCGTTGTGTTACAACCTCTGCAGACCCAGATTCGAATGGTGCACTGTGGACTGAAGCGTTACTCAAGACATTAAGCAATAGCACTTGTGTCCTCATTTCTTGAAATGAATTGAACAAGAATGTGACGAATATATAATTCAGCACGCTATATGAGCCTAGTTGCATCCAGGTTTCCAATATGAACCATCAAATCTGGTACGATAGATTACAATCCACACTCTGATTGCAGTTCGGGCACCGTATTATGGTCCTTCAGTGCTTTGAAACTCAGTCATTTGCATTGTCTTCGCAAGTGGAAGGTCTCCCGGGCAATCACAAGAGCAGGAGCAGCTGGATGAGAGTGAAGTTGAAAAAAAAACCAAGTACTGAGGATTTGTATGTTTGCGAGTCTAGACAGATGAGGCGATGTTCAGCTTTAAGGACACCGTGAATGAAGATGCAGATTTGAAACTTGAGATCAGGGCTTGTTTGCTTGCTTTCCAGTCTCTTGCTGCTGCCATGTCTGGTGGAAATCTCCTTGAAAAAATCACGGGCAATAGAATGGGCAAGCATGCAACTGCAGAAGTGGCGGCAGCAAGGCTCTTGTTTCACCAGACGTGGAAATAATGAACCCCTGCTAGGTTCGACGCAAGACGAGCCATGCGCGCAATCAAATTGATTGAAAACATTAAATTCCCTTGAAATCTCGATAGTCCAGTTAGGAATTCTCTTCTCGTCTATGGTTAATGAGACCACACCACGATTTCTAGAGAGTAGCGTGGAGAAAATGCTAATCCTGATACCATTCCAAACTGGACAGTTCCATCAAGCGAGAAGACTGAGAATTGGAGGCAAACACCCTGGTTAAGGTTTGCCACCGCAGGAAACGATTGAGGTGTTCATGATCATCTAGACTCTAATGCTCTCGGCCACCCAGTTGTGACGGACTGCCACCAAGACACTCACCTGTAAGCAGAGCAGCCTAAACTTCGAGATTGAATTGTTTCGAGTTTCAAAGTGAAGCGATGTTTCGCCATTCTTGTAATTACTGCACATGCTATGTTCTCTCAACTCGAGATTATAATTCTGATCTTACTACAGTTTTGAATGAAACGTCCTTACCTTTTCTGCGACTGGCAGGTATTGGTTTTGCCTCGTTTGTTGCGTTGTAACCTTAGAATTGGAGGCCAATAAGCAATGGTACTTAGCAATCATTTTACAGTAATCGTGAGATAGGAGAACTGAATAGCTTCCACTTCGTCACAAGCTACGGGTTTCCGAAAAGCAGAATCGCAGTGTTTGTTTATTTGTTTGTTTGTTTGTTTCCCTTAATGAGACTTAATTTGGTTTCGTCCTCAGTACCTGAAGGCTCGTGTTATGCTCATGCACAGCGTCCATCACCAATGTTGGCTGGCAAGCGTGTTGAATAATCACTTCAACCTTGTGGGACGGATCATTGAAAATGAGAATGCATGGACCGATTTCCACTGGTCCTCGCTTTTCTTTCCCTCAATTTTACGAATGTTATGTGCTGAAGATCATTCTTCCGCATGTGAATGCATTTGATATCGAACCAAACCTCTCGAAACGAACCAGCGATGACTGGAATCACATGATTTGGCAAGACGAAATCTTTTTTAAACTTGATTTCCTTCGATGGAAGAGAATGATATCGGTGCAGAAGCAGAACAGCTGAGATGTCAGGCGATGAGAGTGCCTGGTGATGCAGGCATGCGTGGAATGCGAAAGAATGGACAATGTTCATCTCAGTGATAGACATTACAAATATACAAATCTGCATCGATTTTGGAAGACGAGCTAACAGATTGCAGTCAGCGGCAGGACCAAGATGAAGTGCAGCTCAGAGTGTAACACAGCAGTCTAAAACTGTGCTTTTTCATCATTGATAGAGGAGCCATTCAATCGTTGAGCATAAAAAACGTTTGAACCTAAAAGTAAACAAAGCTGACCACTTTCAGAGTTTTTCAGAGAAGTTCGGATGCAAAAACAGTCTGTTGGAGTGAAGGGAGAGTTTAGGGAATGACTTAAGATTGGAAAATTCAAGCAAGGGAGACTTCCAATGTCGTAAACAAAAGATGAAAGAATGCAGCGGTATGTTCATGGTAGTGATTGCCAAGAATGGACGCAAAATCAGAACTATAGGTAATTATGAACAGACGCCTAGAGCCACCGCAAGTCATACGAAAAACAAAAAACAAAATTGAAGAGGGGAGGAAAAAAATGTTTCATGGTGCTATTTACAAAACGTGCCTAAATGTTTTCTAGTAGTCTCAGGTCCAGGCCAAGCCCCGCTGATAAGATTCTGTTTTGATATCCAAACCCCAAAATTGTGAAAAAGGGAGGATGCTGAATCTGAACCAGAATTTCAAGCATCATCGGTCATCTCGCGCACTGGGTCTGAAATAGACGAGATGTGACTACTGTGAAATAATCAAGCCCGGTTGTTCCAAACGAACACGCAAGTCAAAGCCCCCTCCAGCAGCTCTTAATCTCGTCAGCGATGGCCTCTTGGTTGCCAGATTCTTATTGCTGACGAAGGAGCTCAATCAACTGCAATTTTAACTGTCTTTGGTTTCGCTGGTTCAGGAGGCGGAATTTTGGGCACAGTGACCATCAACACACCATCTACACAGTTGGCAGTAATGGCATCAGCATTTGCGTCTGACGGTAGAGTGAATTTCCGAAACAGTTTCACAGGACTCCGCTCCATGCGTACGAACTTCGTATCCTCCTCTTTGTCGTTGACTATCTCGTCGAGTTTTCTCTTACCCCGCATGGTTAGGATATTTTCATTCTCGATTTGCACCTGTAGAATAACAACAATTATGAGCGTGTAGAAGCACATGTACTGAAGGTGCATAAGAGAGTATACCGAATGCTTTGAAGAAAATCTCTTATCCAGGATCTCCGAGACTTAGGGGTAAATCATTAAGCAAAACACATACCCGAAAATCCTCCAAGAAAGTTCGCACGCTGCATGACAACCACCAACAACCGTCTCGGCTACAGAACACTCTTGTACGAGCTTCTAAATTCTTCTCAAAATTCTAACTCTCTAGCACAACTACTACCAAGCATAAAATTGAACCACAAATCCGCACCGTGCTAAAACAGAATAATCGCCATTATCCTTCGAACGGTGTACTCCGAGACACAGCTTGTGAGAAAGTGAATCTATACGACCAAGTCCATGAAATTGCGCAAGACTCAAGTACCTCAATGTCAGTCTTTTGAAGGCCAGGAACATCCGCAATGAAGAGATACGCGTCTTTTTTCTCCTTCACATCGACGGGTGTAGCTATAGTCACATGCCTCGGCTCATCGTGCTGACTTCGTCGCTTGCGCTTAATCTTTCTTTCCAAGTCGCTCTCAGGCTCATGCACCAGCTGGTGCAACGACGTAAGAAACGGATCCGTGTCGAACACAACAAACTCCATTTTCTGGACTAAGCTCAACAGTCTCAACACGAATGTGCCAAGACGACAGCTAAATTGTACACTCTAGAATAAAAACCAAACAACACAATAGACGCAAAACTCCACTCCACTCTCCCAGCAGAAGGCCTCGAAATACCGAGATTGCCAACAACATTAAATTCACTACTCGCGGTTCACTTGTATACGCAAATCCCTCCAAATTTGACCACAATCTCGGCGTCCTGGCAGTTCAAAAGTACTCACATCACCCCGCACTCTAACCCATGCACTGAAATGCTTACGCTTGATTCCCGAGACGCTGCAGTTTATGCGGGTTACCGAAATTCAATTGAGGAAGACGATGGAAGCCACCAGAAGCAGCCAGAACGACCCGAAGCTGCCAGAAGCGTCTACAGAAGCCTGAGGCGTGTTCATTCCAGAATCCTCTTGCGTACGTGGAAATGCCAAGTCAGATTTTACTGGGTCTCAACTGCATGCCAATAGGGTTCTCCCACGTGGCTGGGTGCTGGCGTCCAGCGTTATCCGCTCCTCCAAGTCCTTATACTCTACCTTATGCTTCACAATTATGAACTTTTATTGAAATGAGTTCTGCACACTATCAATATTTGTAATAATTCTAAGATTTTGCTTTTTTCGTGTGAGGCATTATCACGTTTTATATTTTAAAAAGTTGAAAAACTTAAGCATTGTCATGTTTTTTATTATTTGTTTTATTAAAAAAATTAAAGTAGATTTGATGAAGGGTTTGTGAGCAATCTTGTCATTTGACAGATGAGTGACTTGTCATATTAGTGTAGACAATATGTCCACTTGATTGTAACTATTTCATTCAAGAAGAGTAAATATATTTTTTTTAAGGAAAAAAACTTTCTGATGTATTGCAACAAGCTTCATTAAAAACTAAAATCTTTGAAAACAGAAAATTTTGGAACTATAACAAACAAAAAAAGTAAACTTTTAAAGCAATAATTGCAAAGAAAAACATGTAAATGTAGCAATAAAAAGACAAGTGATTCACAAATGGGTACTAATAGAGAGGCAGAGTTTTAAAATACAAATATTTTTATACCATATTAGAATATGCTAAATTTTATACTTACAACTAAAAACTTTATTAAATCAAAATGTAAAAGTTAATTGTAAAAAGTACAGATTTCAGCATATCACCAAATGAATTGATTTTACATTATTTCTGTGCATCTTAATTGTATTTATATGACATGTCTTTTCATTTACATACATTTTTGCAAAAAACATTCTACACAAGCAAAAATGTTTGCATTTGTCTTGGCTTCAAAAGATTTCTATATTTTTTTTCTTTAACAATAATAGTAATGAAAACTTATTCTTGTGATTTTCAAAGATTTTTTAGATGAACTTTTCTTGTGATTTTTTTGTGATTTTCCAAGATTCTTGTGATTTTCAAAATCAAATAAATAATAACTCATCATGTTGTCAAATAGAACTATACCATTTACTTGATAATACAGAATTATTCAGTGATTGTTTAAATAAAATTATAAATTTAGAACCAGAATCAAATTAAAATGAGTCTAAGTACCTCAGTACATGCTAATTACAATGCTTGTTGCCAAGTCTTATTTGTCAATATTTCTTTATTAGAACCCTTTTTATTTTAATGTTTTATATGACATGTTTTAGCATTCAATATAGCAAATCAAACATTGCAAATTTTATCATAAGTCTTAAAATAATTATTTTTTATTTTCATTTATTTTTGATAGATCTTTTGAATCAATAAACAAATAGCAATACATCAAAATTTGTCTATGTATTCCAAAATCATACCTAGTTTTTGCCAAACTCCCATCAATGTTTTCTAAGAGTTGTTGTGATATCATAAATAATTACTTAGGTATGCAATTAATTTGGTAGCTTAAGTTGTTTAATCTCATAATGAATATAATGTAAAACCTTTTGACATGGACAAGGCAAAAAATAAAATAAAATAAAATAAAATGTTGTTGTTTTAACAAATGACTAAAATCAAAAGTTCAAACAGTAATTGATGCAAATTAAATTTTTATAAAGATTAAAAATTAAAAAAGTGCTTCTAGACATCTGAATACCATATGATAGCAACATAGATATAAGTTTTGAAAATATGTATTTATTTTAGTAAGGAAGTTACAATTTGTACTTAATGTCAAATATAATATACATTCTTTTAAAGCTTATATATTGCATCTATAAATCTAAGTATTTTATGTTAATAGTATAACATGAGATTTTTAATATTTCAAAGTATTAATGACAAAACTTCAATTGTGTAACTATGCATGCCTAAGTAATATTATTGTCTTTATGATATCTTTAATTTTTAATGTTGTTCATACCTTCTAAGATTTTATAGAGAAAACATCTCTTGTAAAGATATAAAATATATTTTTGTGCATTATAAGCTTAGGGTTTAGGATATATATATATATATATATATATATAACATTTATTCAATAGACATTTTTTTAATTGACAATTAGAAGATAGATAACAAATACATCCCTTAAAATCTAATTTCTTAAATAATCTTTAAAAAACTTTTTTAGTTAATTAATTCTCTATACTTTTTTGTCTTTAAGTAATATACATGACTTGAGGTTAACGCATGGTTTTTGCATGATTCACTGCATTTATCGTTGCATACACACAAACACACCCTTAAAGAAACGTTGTATCAAGTTTTTTTTGTCTTTCTTTTCTACAGTAAACAATAATAGAAACACTAAGAAATAATTAATTCTTCTAATATCACTCCTTAAGAACACAACTCCTGCAAATAAAATCAATTATGCTTGTAATTAAACTAATTCAAAGTTACACTTCAAATACATAAACAATTGTTTTTGACATTATAAAAATTCTAATGGCTGCAAAATCTTCAAAACATTTAATAGAAATTTGTATCGTTGAATATTCCAATTTTTTTTTGTAAACATTTAGCTTTGAAGCTCTTTATTCAGTATATCACTCTAATGTTTTTATAAAACTTGGAAATATTACACACTGATGGAAATGTCTTAAAAAACGTACAATATAATATTTCAAACATAGCCTTTCAACTACCAGAAAAAACTTATTTATTTTCATATAAGTTTATCCTCTTTGTAACTTGCACAACCCTTTTTTATTTTTTTAGTCTTAATTAAGCAACAAAATCTAAAACCTCAACATCATTGTGACCTTCCCATAGAAGTCGATGTCCAAGTCAACAATTGCATTCGCAAAGGAAGGTGCGATGCAACTTCGACTCTCAATAACCCTTACCTTCTTCTGAAATTTCCAACGAAATTTCACCGTATTTCGCAACAATTTCCTAGGGAATTGCGGCACCTGTTCGAAATCGTGTTCCGGCGAGGAAACAGAATAAATTTGCACAAGCATTTTGCACACTTCACCTCCACCGAGCATCGTCGAATGGAGTGGATGGGTTTCAATCCCCGAACGCTGCTTTAGCTCTCGATTTTTAGGGCTTCGATTGCTCGCGCGTGGGTAAATAGCTCGAATCTTCCCTAATTGGCAACTCCACAGACACGCGTGGATCTCGCTTTGATTGGTAGCACGAGCAACTCTGCAGTAATCTGTCAACATGGGTGTGCTGCTGATCTAGCAACGTTGCGCACGAATCCTGAGCGAATTCTTGTGAAGTCTCCTGCTGCTTTCTTACCGACTTTCTATCGAATGCGCAGATGTACACACGCCTATGCAGTGACGTTGCTACTGGACTCGTTACTTCAGATCCTTTGGTTCTGCGCTCTTCTTTGCCGTTTCCGCGCTGCTATTTACCTGTTGGTGCACTGAGACGGGATCCGGAGACGACAGGGAGCTTAATTAGGTCGTCTGCAGGTGTTAATATGGCTGTGAAAGCGGAGGATTCTGACATCCACAGACTCATTAGCATTGGTAAGCCGACAGGACACCCCAACTTTTCAAGTGTGTATTTTTGGGTGTGGTTTGGTGGGTCGTGAGGCTAGCTAGATTCGTCTCTACTTACATTGAATGTCGGACCCGATCTCGTCCCTGCTCTAGTTGCCTCGATGTCTTGTATGATATGCCGGGTATGGGGTTGTTTTCTACTCCTACTCGACTGTGGCGTCGTTCTCGGGAGTTGATGTAGAGTAACTAAGTGCATGTGGGGTTTTGTTGCGCTTTGTCTACGGTGCAGGTCCGTCACATTACTGTGAAAAGGTGTGTGATTCAACAATTCCTACATTGACTTCGCCTTTTATTCATTTATTTATTTCTCCTGTAGCATCTCCACGTGAATGCTCCAGTTTTGTTTGAATCACTTTGCTGCGTGCTGCTGTGAATCTGCGGCTCTCGTCTCAAGGGGACATTAGATGGCTAGGCGTGGAGATAAAATCGCAGGAGTGGGTACCGAAAATCTAGAACCATGCATTTCAAATGAATATCGAGTGATTTATTAGGACCATGAATTGGTAAGCTTGTTGTACGCAGGCGAGATGGGCACTGGAAAGGGCTTATATTCCATTTTCCGAGGACAAGCACTGCCCTGGTTTCCACATTCCGGTCGTTAAGTATGCTACTTTAACAGCTTCACTTGTAGATGCATAATGCGTGTTTATCTGTTCTTGTGAAATGCTTACTGTGGAATTTTCAATGAAGAATATGTTTTGAAATTGGTGCTATAAACTGCGTGAACTGTAGAGAAAATAAGAACCCCCTGTTTTTTTGATTATTGATTGGCAATGCAGGGGTTTCCCAGGGGGTAAAACCTGCCCAAAGCTTGTGATAGGCAAGGGTCCTGAACAAGTAGTGTTGAGTGAATCGCATGATATTTTGGAGTACGCTGATAAGAAAATTGACAACGAAGAAAATCGGTTGTACCCCTCTGACCCGGAGCTGCTTCAGCTCGTGCAATCATGGGGTATGTTTCGCAGATCATTGTGCTCTTCTTCCTTTACGCGTGATCATTGTGATATGGGAGTTGTCGTGGAATATGAATTTATTGTTACGCATTAAAGTCATGGCTACTGTGCTTTGAAATAGTTCACAATGGAAGTTCATTGTTCTTGTGTTACCCTAATATTGGTTGTTGGGGCTTTTGGACTCAGAGTCGAAATTCGACGACCGTCTTGGACCCCATGTGCGGCGATATGCATACTCGTTCCTCCTATTTGATTCATCCACCTATGAATTGCTAACTCAGGGAGGTTCTACCGTAGAGAAGTTTCTGGCATGGATAATGCTGCCTCTATTGCGTCGCGTAATTTATCGAGGTCTCAAATGTAACAGGCCAGGGGCGAAAGAGCAGTCCTTGGAAGTTATTGATAACATTTTCAAAGAGGTGGGTTTATATCGTATAAGTGAATTTAATCTGAAGTGTTAGCCTGATGCAGAATTAATGTTCAAGCCTTTGCAAGTGAAGCTCACACTCAATTAATGATGAGGACGCTGTTGGTTTCTATCAGGTGGATGATGCGTTAGCTGATGGGCGGCCCTACATCTGTGGATCAAAATTCTCTGCAGCTGATGTCACGTTCGCTGCACTTGGCGGCCCTCTTGTTTCTCCTCCTGAGTGAGTTCTCTGTCTCGTTGTATTTCATTAGTGCACAGGCTTGATTACGTCCAACTAGTGTGCTCGCCAGGCGAATGTTATTAAATATCAAGTCTCATGATAACATCCTTAATGATGATTTCTCAGCATTAACTTTTGTACGATTTTATTTGCGAATTTATAGAGGTGGAGCGTGGATGCCTCCGCTCGATGCAATCCCTTCAGAAATGAGGGATGTGATGAAGCGTCTTCAAGGGACGCCAGCTGGCCAAGTAAACATTCCTAATCTCTCCACCTTTGTTCGATGGTTCATTCTTTTACGGCTGAACGTTACCGATACGGATCTTTTTAATTTTCTCCGAGGGGCCGAATCTTTTCGATTGCAAGTTGCACTCTCTCTCTCTCTCTCTCTCTCTCTCTCATATTTGGTAGTTATGGTTGTTCTGGATGCAGCACATTTTGAAAATTTACGAAACTAAGCGACAGAGACCGGAACAAAAGAGGGTTTATCAGTGATTTTTATAACACATGACGCCAAATTCATGTGGAGGTACGATCGTGCAAATCTGTAAAGAAGACGAGTTTCTTGGTGTTTATTTAGGGTTTTGTGGATATCCAGTAGGAGCTTAGCTACAAAAGAAAATTATGAACATATAGCATTGCGCTGTGATATCAGTGCACTTTTGCAACTCTTGCAACTTTTGCACTTCTGCAAGTTAAAGGTGCCGTGGTGTTAATTAAATTAATGTGGTTTGGTATTTTCTTCCGCTTATACTACACTATGCACACTATCAAATAACTCGAGATATGTGTCTAGTTTACATCAACGATGTTATTCCTTCTCCTCTTTACATCTAACCTTGGCATCGCAAGTTCACAACTGGTGCGTTTTCCATTACTAGACTGGCAATCTCCATTTTCAAGCCAGTCTCTCTCAAATTCCATGTCTCCCAATTGTAATCTTGTCTCCAAATGCAACTCTTTCAAAATCTGGGATTTTTTATCCTTCATATTTGTTGCGGCTCTTCCGCTTAGAGCGACTGGGTCTCCGATTTCGGCGTAGTAAAGCTGGCAATGACCATCACCTTCTATACCTTTCAATTTGAGGTATTGCATTTCAGCTTCGAGATTCTTTACCTCCCCTTGCACATCCTGGTACTTGATTCTACCGCAATTTTCCTGAAATGATTTCCGAAGTTGTACTAATTCGCTTGACCCCAGTCTGTCTACTCTCTTCAAATGGTTTCGTTCATGTAAGTGAGTCATGATCTCCTGGAACACAATGTCTTCCTGTAGATTTAGGTGTCTTCTTTTGACGACGTCAAGCAGGTGCCCTGGTGCCCCCGAGTAATGCAACATCAGTTCTGCAAATTTCTTACTCAACAGTTCTTTCTCACTCTTGCCTTTCAGATCCATGTATGGCACAGGAGAGAGAGAGTTCAGACGCATCTATCTCCAAACTATAATTTGTGCAGTCGCTCACATGAACCGCAACCCTGTCAATACCCGCAAGGTTGTAACTATCATGCTACTTTTTTTCACAGTTAACTGCAATTCTCTGCTTCTCGTTTCCTTACTGCACTGTTTTGCTCCCCAAACTGATAAAAACATTCCTTGAACGCACTGTGAGAAGCTATGCTGGTTGAGCCTGCACGACTTGATATCAAACAGTTCTCAGTTTTTAACAGCAGGTATCATCTAACTTCGACTTAGGCTAGCCACAAATTCTTCGAAGTTTAGCTACAATAATCATTAAATTAATTACAATCATGATACTGGTGCATCCCTTCTTGTATCGAATGACTCTAGCGATTTCACCCAGGTATGTAGCTGCAGCAACAAAGAGACACGAGCATAGAGAGGGCAACGAGAGGGCAGTTACCAGCTTCGGTGACGTGCAACTGCCGAGTGCCAATGCTGACACATGGCGGAAACCAAACGGTTCCTTTTCAACATTCTGTTTTCCCTGCAGGTGGTGAGGACACAGACTCGGCTTTAGAGTGAAGGGTTGAAATCACTTGCAGATCCAAAGTCCGCGGAGAACATCTTGGTCTTCGTGAGCCGCTTTTGTGTCTTGAAAAGTAGATCATGTACGTGGACTGGCTTGCGACTTTGAAAGTTCAGATGCACTTGTTCCATCTAGGAATCCCGCATTTTATTTAAATCCCAACTATTTTTGAGCTTATCAGTGTGGGTGCTGTCACGAATCGAGTTCACCGGCAGGATGTTCATCAGGTTTTGAATTTGGATACTTATTCGAGGGTTCTGAAGCTTCTTCTTTGAGACAAATATTACAGGATTCAACGCCTACAAATGCACTTCTTTCGGTAGTCAGATGGGTTCTTGTAGCCATTGCAGTTTGTGACAAAATCAGCAGAAGCAAAGTGAGTCTAGGAATCGAATTCTTGCTTCCATACGGCGGGAATCCTACTTTCAGAGCATGACAGAACACATGGCCACGCTTATTAGCATTTTGTAGTGTTTAGCATTAATAGTTGCACATTGATGTAAAAATAAACAAACCTTACAAATTTGGATCATAGTTTTGTCAGATTGCCAGGTTTGATAGGCTGCGTGAGATGCAGGATAAGGTTTGGTGCTTTTGTGAAAGGTGAAGTTGTTTCCATGTTCTTAAAGAAGATTTAATTGTTTTTCCTCCTTTTTTTCTTGCCTACTTGGCAAATTGTGAATTTAGTAGGTAGAGTGAAGACAACAACATGTCAAATTTTTTCATTTAGATATGGTTTTTCTTGCTTCAACCAATTGTAATCTAAATGCATGTGATTAAAAGTGAGCCACATATTTCTTAATAACTTTTCACAATTCTGTCCCTCTAGTTTATTGTCACTAATTCAATACTTTGGCACATTACCTAGTAATCATTGGTTGAAAACGATGCAAAAGAATGAATCTTGTACATAACTTCAAAACTTGAAAACATTTCTTCTAATATGGTGATGGATTTTCTTTAAGTAGAATCTCTATCTCACCAATTAGAATAGGCTTCAAACTAACTTCTCATTTAGTAATCAAAATATTCATGAAAGGCTCCATGCTTAGCAAATGAACACCAAATGATTCCATTCCATTGAAGCACAGAAAAAAAAAAAACTTAAAAAGATATGTTTTAGTAACTAAGTTATCAAATCCTTAGAATAGTTACAATGTAAAATTTTGGATCATAACTTTATTTGCTTAACCTTCAAAGTTAGGATAGTTATCAAAGATAAAGACAACTCAAAAATGTGCCTTTAAAACCTCATGGAAATTGGATGATTTTTTAAAAGATGATGGATTATAGACATATCTACAAAAAAAAATATTAATACAAATGTGTACAAAATACTCCTACTCTTTGGTATATACTACAACCAAACAATTCAAATATAATTAAGAACATCTATTTTTTGTAAGAAAGAATAATTAGAAATTCAAATTCATAGATATTTAAATCCCTTCTTGATGTTGTGTCCAAGTATCTCGGGTTGCCTATGTTAATGCCATTTTTCAATTTAGATTGACAAAAGTATATTACTAAGTAATTCTTGAATATCAAGAATTGTTCAAAGCATAGCCTTTATCACACCATATTGATGCATGGATCTTCTACTAGAAGAAAATATTAGAAACCAATAAGATGCCCTAGGTTCTAAGCTTCCTTCTATTCACATGTATTTTGACAATTTAGGTGGTGAAGTTCCTTCATATTGTCTTGCCACTCTTGATTCCAACTCTATACACTCTCTGTTCAATTCAAAGACACCCTCGCTGCTTTTATTTTGGATTCCACAACTTATATTGTCTTCTCTATTTTCACCACCCAGATATATTGTATCACCTCAGAAGTTGGTTTCATCTTCTCAAAGAATTGCACTAGCAACATTATTTTTATCAACTAAGCTCCAATCTCCACAACCTCGTCATTCTTCACTACTCTCTTAGCCTTTGATTTATTCAAAACCTTCTAGAGAGTCCACCTTACTGCCTCAAGTAATAGATGTGTCTCTCATTGGTTGAGTCTTTTCTATTTGTATAGTGCTTAGAACTAATTGACATAATTCACCAAATGATGCAAGGCATTTGGTGTTACATGCAAGATGAACAAAGTCCATGTTTGGTATAGAAAAATTCTTGGTATAACTTATTGACCATACCATGTTGCTATTGTTGCTAAGTCTTGAATATTCTATAGATGAGACATTCAAGGCTACAACCAAGAAGTGAATTCAATAACTTAGCTCCTAGATGATAATACATAGATATAAGTGCACCCATCATTAGATTCAATTTGCATCCAAGTGGATAAGGTAGTGGATATGGAATGTATATATAAAAAGAGGCTATTTTAACAGCCCATGAATCTGTAGTATAAGGGATTGTCTACCACATAGATTCAAGAGTAAAGCCCTATTAAAAGTATATAGATAGAAGATACATAGATATAAGAAATAGTTGTAAAACATGCTTTTGGAGGTTCATTCAAAGACCAATTCTTATTTAATTTTGGATGTTTCTTTGAATCTTCCGAAACTTCATGGACTTAGAGAGTTTCAACAATTGCAAACTTTTTAAGTACTTTAGGAAGCTTAACTATAAGACTTGTAAGCATAGACATGTCTTTGTCTTTGTCTATAACATCTTTGTTAATATTGTGGAAATGACAAAGCATCTTTTTAAGATGCCACTATACTTCAATGATCCGGTGAAATTCAAAGATTTGCTTCAAAAAAAACCTTTGTTGCCTACTAATGTGGGATGATGGTCAAAATCAAATATAGCATTAAAGAAAAAAGAAAAAAGAAAATATTATGACCTTCAAGAGATGTTGCGACAATTCAAACTAAATTATAAACAATAAAGATTGGACATGTCTAATACAAGCTAAAAGCCAAAGACGTAATCAATACAAGTACGTAGAGGTTTGTCAAAAATAAATTCAAAAAGAAAAAAAGGTCTTTTTAAGATCTAAAATTTAAGCATCTTTTTATATAATATAATCTAATAATGAGGTAGCCATGTAAGATTTGCATTCGGTGGAATATAAATATCAAATAACTTAAAATGAACATATACCATTATGCATCTATCAACACAAAATATAGTTTTCACATGCTTTGGAATAGATAACCATATATATTCTTTGGTACTCTATAACAAGAACAAAAGCCATCTAGCATACAAGGCTAAGCCAAAGATAAAAAAAATATGCTTGAGATAAATCCTTCCCAATATTAATACGCTTATGTCAAAATGACTAATACAAAAATTGATTACATTGCAAGAAACCAAAGTTATTAGTATTTAATACTTGATCATGGCCTTTTAGGTCTACCAAAAATCTTCTTAGCCAAAAGCATTCATAATATCTCAAAATTGTATAGAATTTGTTGTTGCTCTCTTCAATATTGAGGATCCTATCTCCATATTGTTACTTCTACTTTCTTGAAAATCTCTCAACTCAGATTTTCAAAACTTATGTTCCTAATAATATCATGTTCAAATACAACTCTCAAGTTATTTATTCTATGCACTATAGAAATAAAGGTAGTTGCAAAGTGGATATTTGATACATCCACAAGATCTATAACGTTTCTCCTAGCCTCATTCTTTTGCATCTAATTTTCATCCTATCTATTTTTACGTGCGTTTGATTTCACATGCCCATCAATATGTTCTATAAGAACTTCATCCAACTCACTATGATGAGTCACTTGAGAAGTCAAATGATTATTGATAATAAAAATATTTAAAAATACTCTATTAGTAGTAAGCCAACAAGCATCATCTTTGTCCTTCCTTGACATAATCTCAATATTCTTATCAATTGTAATCTGTAAAACTTAATTCACGCACTCAATTAATTATTTTTTCAATGTAAAGTTCTTACTTAAGAGAAGAAATTGCTTTCTTCTTCTAGAATCATAATGTTTCTAAAAGAGACTCAAGGTTTTTATTTGGCCACTCAATTGTGTGCCCAAAGAGTAGGTTAATATATCAAAATTAAGATCTCTATTCTTTTTTTTGGAGGGAGTATATTCTTTATAATGACTCAAAGACTTAGATGTTTACACAACTGTACCTCCTACTAAATTTTTTATAGGTCCATCCATGCCAGTATTTTTATTGCAACTTACATTAAATAAAGAAACCAATTCAATATTATAAAGTTCAAAACTCATTATGGGCATATATGCCATTTTTTGAAAATGAGGTGCGTTTATATAGTTCATAGATATGTATGAATACATGCTATCATAAGGTCCAAATTGCATCTAAGGCAATAAAAGATAAATTGGTTAATATCATGTATAAGATAAGCAAACCTAAAGGTGCAAAGTATACCATGAAAAATCCGCTATTCTAGTGAAAAAATCTATATTTTCACATATTTTTGCAAAAAAAACAATTTTTTTATATTTAAAGATTATGTTCCTTCCTCTAATATAATGTTGTGAAATCATATGCAATATAAAAAAAAATCCTTTTAAAATAAAATTTGGTGATTAACTATGCAAGTTACTTAAATAAAACTTAGGACAGGTAGAAAGTTATGAACTTATTTTTATTGATTATTTAATTATTTTTCTTAAAATTAATATTTTTTAATACAATTTTAAAAAATAAAAACATGCTAGTAATGCTTTAAATTTTTTCATTATAATTCTCTAAAATAAATAAATAAATAAAAATCAAGTAGGTGGTAGATTGTGGTGGCAATAGCAAAAACTGTGATAACATGAGGTGGATTGCAAATTGACAACATCAAAAACTATGGTGACAATAGCAACACCCTAAAAAAAACTCTTTTTATTTAGGTACAATGTGAATAAACAAATAGGTAAACAAAACAATTCAAATGATTTGCCTGTGGCTAGTGTATTTTTAAAAAACCTTTCTATAACTACAGTCACTAATCACCCTGTGAAATTGATTTATTCCTACCAGCATTGTTAGCCATGCTTCTAACGGTTGACTAAGAGGTTGAGGAATGCAGGAGTATTTCTACCAATATATACATGATCAAACTGCATTATTTATAAATAACCCCAACGATGCGTCAGTGCTAAAACTGCGTGATGTGTATTTAACGGATCTATTAGTAATTGCTCGAAAGCCACAACACGAGAGAGAAGGACGCTATCCAACTTCAGAAGCTCAGATGGGCCCGTCAGAAGAATGCTTGCCTGGATTTTTAGCATCACGGATACAGAAAACTGACGGTCTGTATTACTGTGCTTTCTGAGAAAGACTATCGTCTCATCTATCATAACTAAGCGTACCACACCTGCCAATGACCAAGAACTTGGAAGAGGTGTCCCACTGATCGATCACCTAGAGTGAAGCAAACGTTAAATTGCACACCACGTGCCTAAACCTACTTTGACACCCCGATATTCTTTTCAACAATGCGCGAGGCGCCATAAATTAGATACATGCAGTAGAAAGAAATCCACCAGCTACCGAACTCAAAATGAAAAATAATGGTGTCCTCAGGAGAACCAAACAGAACCCTCATGTTTCGGAGATAAATATAGCATACCAATTACATCACATTGACAGGAAGGTGCACTGATGCCGCTCTTCCATAAACTGCTAACAAATCCTGAGGACGGCTGTCATAATATTACAAAGGCTGCTCATCCTCGATTTAACATAAAAATACAGAAAGTTCCACCTTCCCTTCAAAGTTCTGTGAATTGCCAAGGAGACAAAGCGACTGTAGGAAAAATTACAGCTGGTGCCTAATGAACGCCTACAAAATTTCCGGACTGCATATACATAAATGATGGGCACCTGAAATGCACATCCAAAAATTTCAATTGTACCTGCGTGAGGACAGATCCTACCTCTGGTAGCAGAGTGTGAAATCCTAAAAAACGCAAGGTCCCAAAAAGATTGGAAAAACTAATCAACATCCCATTCGCATATGATAAAGTCCAGCAATTTGGGGTGGTAAAAGGAACGCAGCCCCAGTTCATCCCCAGCTCCCACACTCGAGTCTTTCAAAACAGCCCAAGCCAAAGCTAGCGCTGTCGTTCTTTTTGTATCGACAACAGAATACTGGCAGCTGATTCTTGGGTAGCAGAAACTGCGCGAGGCACAACCTTGATCACACCACATTGTTGCATCACTCGCTTCGCAGGGGAAATAATGGGAAACCAGGGGAACCCATCAGATTTTGGAAACTCTGTCCGTGGACGTTTCAGAGTTCTAACTTCAAGCGGCTCCTTGTGTCTTGCTCCTGCTGGCAAATTTCTTTCTAATTCCAGTCCGCCGAGCTCCTCTCCATGATCGCAAAGCTCACCTCCACGTGTGGAAACCTCGCGTCCATGTGCAGAGAGCACCCCACTGTTTTTTTCTCGCTCGACCATTCGAACCCCTTCGTCATTTGGTTGTCCAACCCCACCACCAGTTTCTACACGTCGAGTCTCGCCGTCTTGACGCTCCGACTCATCACCAAGGGGAACTGCACCAAACTCTTTGTTTCGGGACGCGTCCGGCTCCCTGTGACCCCGTCGGTCTTCCGTACTCCCCCATCCTTTAGCCCATCCGCAACTCTCAACAGCATTCACTAGTTTGGAGCGATTACCTCCTACATCCGATTTCTCCCCAGCTTGACGAGCGCTTCCCTTCTGTGCATAGTTTCTTTGAATTAGTTGAGCAGCTCCAGAAGACGTTTGACGTTCGCAGTTCGTTACCATAGGAATAACACCCATATTTGTTGCAGGTCCTACTGCTGGAACCATCTGTTGACCATACCAGACCGCTCCTGCCGCTGCAGGATCTGAGGGTCCCCAGGGCTGAGACATACCTTGCTGCTGCCAAGTTGGAAACCTGGAAGCCTGCATTCCTCCAAAGTTACCATACATGGACATCGGAGCACCCATCATGGGATATACTCCATATCCAGGAGAGCAAGGCCCTGGATATGGTACGTACATGTGGGGCGATGACATCCTTGCCGCATATGGATTTGAAGAATAAGTCGCTGCTTGCCAAGGAGATGCAGGGTTAAAACCCTGTTGAGGGGGTGTAGAGAGGGGATATGCGGGTTGAGAAAGTGATTCTGGAACTTGACTTGAGATTTCATCAGAAGGTCGGCTGATGTCCTTTTCCAGGCTCCTTCCTGAAACCTCCGGAACCTCTGGGACCTCAGGGACTTCAGCAACCGGACTGTCAAGCAGGGGCACATTGTCGCCTTCGGCTTCTATCACTTCATCAAGTCTAAAGGACAGGCTGGGCAACTTCGCGAGTAAACGCTGCACTTCAATTACCCTGTGGAGTTCAAAGACCTGCCGTGAAAACACCTTCTGCTGTCTGCACACAGACGAGGTTGCTGCTCAGAATGGCATGCAGAGATGAAGATAACATCGATTAACATTGAGTACGGAACAACTCACTCTTCCTTTTTCCAGATATGGCAAAGATACTCTCTGGTCATCCACTATACAAGTACATGAGGTACATAATATTCGGATATTTAAACAAAACATCTCTCACAAATATGAGCCTAAAACATCAAAGCACAGGACAATATGCAAATTTAGTAAAGAAAGTCCCATTGTCCCTCCCCTCGCCTCAAGTAGATTCTGGCTAGCTACATGTGACGTTAGCACAGCCATGCAGAGAGCAGACACAAGCAACATCAAAAACGTTTGAAAATCACAAAGCCATCTAATATTTGATCGATCGACATTTGATCTATGAGTCTCCACAGACCTTAGGTCATAAATATAATACCTAATAATTGCCTTCTGAGCTTTCCAGAGCTCTTGCTGACCGAAGTGATCAAGAAGTTCTTGAAAACAACTGGAACCCAGTGGTAAATCCTCTAATATTGACGACTCTGTCTCCGCACTGCCACCTCTACTTCGTTGAGAAGTCTCTGAAACCTCCCTGCTTCGATTTTCCGTACTTTGGCTGCTGAAGATGTCTTGTTCAGGCACAACTCTCAAGCTTTCATCTTCAAGCAGTATTTCGGGAGGGATAACGACAGCACTGGTGTCTGATGGTTTCGTGAGGTCTTCATCAATCTGCCCTCCATCAACCTTGTTCCCCTTGCTCTTCTTCTTTCCAACTGCGTTTCGACCAAGTTCTGTCTGATGGCCATCGCAATCTCTGGAGACCCCATCCAACTTTCTGTTGCTAATTTCTTGAGTATTCAAATCGTTGTCAATGAAAGAAACAGTCAAGCAATCGTCACTAGCAGACGTCCAGCTCGCGTCATCCTCCATGCTCTTCTCCTTGCTGATTCGCCGCAGTTGAGTAGAAAATGCTGGAGATTGCTTCTCCGTTACCAATCCCTTCCCTTTCTGTACACTCCGACCCCCTCCAAAACTTTGTTGGACTTGAGGAGGATTTATGGACGGCCTTGTTTGACTGCTCCCTTGTGTGGCCGAGGAGTAAGTAGGTACTGCAAAGTCGTCGTCTTCCTTCCCTTTCTTGGAGGGCGCTAAGTGCTTTGCATGATCAGAGGATTTGTTGGCACGGGAGGGAGCTTCTCCTCCCCATGGCACTCGCTGCGATTCCGTAGTCCCATCCACAACAGTGCTCTTACTGCTGCTGGCGTTCATAGAAGATGAAGCTGACGCTCCAGTTCCAGCATCAGCTCCGGCTCCAACGCCGTAGAGTCCCATATTCATTATGGGCATAAATGCCATCGTAGGAATGATGGTGGAACCCATATAGCCCATCGGCATATATGGTAACCTACTATCGTAGGATGAAGCTTGAACCTGCACCATGCATCGCATTCAGACAAAGAAGTGTTTAGGACGATGTGCAGTAGACTCATATTCCTCTGAAAGATAAGTTTGTCTCGAGCGGTGTACTCATTGCATAAATTTTGCGGGATCAACCTAGATTTCAGATGTATGCGACACTAACTAAGAGTGCTTCATGCCAACGGTGTAAACGCACACCGATGACGTCAATATACTGATTTCAGTAACTGCACGTCCTCTCACTACTTATGTTTGAGCCTTGCATCGATGGCAAGAAGGTAACGATACGAAGCGTAGTTACCAAATGACGTGCAGCTCATCTTCAACTACATCCTCGCCCAGAACTTACGAAAATACCCATAAAACGGGACAACTTAGATTTGCACTTGACTACTTCAAGTGCTACCATGGTAAACTATACAATGTTGGCCATCAAACCCCCGCATAGAACTAAGAGTTTTTGAAATACACAGCATGCATGAGAACATTCAACAGTCCACCAGATCCTAAGCACTTTGTTACACGGTTATCATGTCTCTTGAATAGACCCACAATCGGCTAATAAGTCGTGATGTATCCTGGAGAAACACTCCAGCTCGTTTTCTAATCATAACAAGATCTGAAACATAATCCAATTCACAATATTTACATTGTTAACATACCTGCGGGTTGAATAACGGAGTCGTCATGGAAGGAGTCGACATCACCCGACCAGAAGAGGGGAGAGGCAATGGAGACATCTTATATCTGTGAGATGGAATAGTGAGCTGCTCATAAAGCGCCATCTTGTTGCGGGGTGGACCCCGTGGTCCAGCCTTTTTAGTCTCAGCTACATGAAGCCGAGGAAAAAGGGCAGGTCCTGCTCCCTTGATCCCATCGGCTTTACCTTCCTTTGCTCCCTTCATTTCAAGACTCCTGTATGGCTTCGTTCGCTAGCTTTCTTCGTCTACGTCTGGCATAATAGGAAAGAAAAGATGGCTTTGATAGCACAGCCCCGTTCTCCTTGTGCAGATACCGTAGCCAAAACCACAAATGAGATCTTGATATTCTACACATTCAAGACTAAGCAGAACTTCAATCTACCCGGTTTTAAGCAATCGACTAAGTACCTGCTCTTCCATGGGAACTGATCCAACAAAGCACCCCAAAGACCTATACAGTGTCAACGACACGGGAAACAGCGGAACAGCTCTTTCAGATGAAAATCTCGAATGAGAATAGCATTTCTCCTCTCTGCAGCATATCAACCGGTCACCAGGGGTTCACCACCTAGGAAGCTCGCGTGCGCTTATAAACACAGTCGCAGCAATATAGTAACCACAATCATACTCAGCACAGTCTCTACTCCACATTCACTCGCACAGTACCGCCAATACCTAGAATCGAGCCGTATGTCATCACCAAAGCATGATCATCACCATTGCAATCTCCGCCCTCAATTGGACACACGTCATAACACAAACACACACCCGAAATACTGCACACAATATCCTCAGCCCCCGTCACTTGGACACTTCGTCACGTCGCCAGTCGCACCATCAGGCCGAGCTTCGAACCACCACCAGCATCTAAGAAAACAACAAATATATGACGTGCTCGCCAAACAATACCACCACAAATGGCTATCGACAACAACAAACCCCCGCTGCCCTTGCTCCGTACAAGCTCAAACGCCTCCCGTTCTGTCGTCAAATTTTCCACTCCGTCAGGATTCAACCCGCTCTACAGTGCACACCACTGCACACCATAAAAAACACCGCGCACGACACAGCTCACTCACCTCTCTTTCAAACTACAAACGACACCAAAAAAACGATACCAAAATCCCCGCCACCGCTTTCTAGGGGAAACAAAACTCTCCCGTTCCAAGTCGAAACACCACCAAATTGAGCCGCGTTTGCTCTAATCGAACGTGAAACGAAGATAAACTACAACACAGGTACGGCGCCGCATCGACACGCATTCATCCTCACAGCAGATTGGAATCACGAAGGCTGTACAGCAGAGTGTGCAAAGGTTTGGGGGTATGGGAACCCGAAAGAAGAGACGCTGAGCGAGAGGATGGAAGCCACGGAAGACGATGGGCCCCGCCTTCCCCGGTTGCACTTTTTCGTATCGAGGGGGCGCTTTTTAGTAGACCCCGATCTCCAAGTGGGAGCCCCTTTCTCCATCTCGCTTAATCCTGATTAATATCGTGCTTAACCCCCCCTCCACGTCAGCTCATCTAACCCTCAAGTCTATAATAACCCTCAATGATTATTCTATATTATTCAATTGGTGCATAATTGCCTTGTGCTTCATTAAAAATAAATAAATGAAACTACCAATTGGGTCATCTGTGTCGGGCATTTTGGGCAAACCTTCAGGCCGATCTTTTTCTCTTCGGATACCACCAAGATATTTTGGGGCGGTTTTCCTTTCATTTTTATTTGGCTCGTTGATAGTTTCGGCGGTTCTAAATTTTTTTATTGGGATGGTGTGCAATTGGGTTCTCTTAGTTCGCCTTTACGTAACTATATATTTTCATACACTGAGAACTTGCAATATAGAATTCCATTTTGAGGATGTGAGAAGTGTAAGATGGGTCGTGTCAAAACAACAATACTCATGAGCACATTTTTATGACTTTGCCAGTTAATAAAAATCAAATATATATATATATATATATATATATATACATATATATGTGTATATATACGTGAGCACATATGTATATATATATATATATATATATATGTGTGTGTGTGTATTTTAGTCCGTGTTTCCAAAGCTTAATTCTCCACTTATACCCTCCCCCCCCCCTTAAAACAGTAACCACGATGTATTACCAGCTTACCACAGTAACAGTTGGACTGAGAAGAGACATATCCAAGTAAAAGCACCTGGTGTTCTTTTTGGACCGGAAAGGTTCCAGCGCGGCGCTTTGGATGAATGAAAAACGTCGTAACTTTTTAGGGGAACTTTTTAGGGGAACTTTTTAGTAAGTGCCACGGGCCAGTTCTGGTGAGAAAGCTCTGTTCATACTGTAAGCATCTGGCCTTACCTTTCTGTTCTTACCCTTTTCACTATTCTTCACTTAACATGTAACCTTTATGAGTTGATTCTGATTATTATTATTACCAATTAAACACCGAGCACAGATTAAAAAATAAAGAACCTGTGAAGAAATCAATTATTTTGGCAAATTGGATTCCATAATTCAACGACCACAACACTGTGTCCTTTAAACACTTTACAGTGACAAACAATCAATTTCACAAACGAATTATTTATTTAGTATTTACTTCTTACCATGTTGACACAATATATATATATATATATATATATACACACACATACACAAGTAATTAATATTCTGTGATTCTGTGTCCAAAGTACATCTTTCTAAATCAATGAAGAAATTTGCACGAATATGTACTTTTTCAACATACGTTTAATTTATGAAAATCAATGCAAAACATATGGAATGGCGAACATAAATTTTAAACGGCAAAGTAAATAGGTAAACAAAGAAGGAGACCGTAAAAGTACTACGATTGTGTAGAGTTAATCCAAGACACAAATGAGTCAGCAAAATTTAGAGGAAGAATCAGTACACAGTCATCATTTGAATGGTTCCGTCAGCCCCCTTCGCCGTGAGGGAGGAAGGGGTCCGGTGACCGTGCAGGGAGAGAAGGGGAGGGTAAGTGCGTGGTGGAGGGAGCAGGGGGGAGCCAGGCTGGCGGAAGGAGGACCTGAAGCCGTGACGAGAAGCAGCAGCGCCAGGCTGGCACAAATCCTTCAGCTGCTACTGGCTCAGGGGAACGATCCTCACACTGCCTATTCCGCGTCTCCCATTGGCCCCCTCTGTCGTGCGGGGTATCCATCTCGATCCAGTATCCATCGTGTCGTCAGCTCCTCCTCCACCGTTGGATGCTCCACCTGGCACTCCCCCGTCTAGATTCATGCATGGCCTTGCTACACACCCAACTCCTATTGGTGGCGCAGTGATATTTTTCTGTCCTTCAACGTCACTGTCAATGATATTCTTCATGTTTCAATCTATTATTCTATTATTCTATTTATTTTATTTTAATGGGATCGTGTCGTTGTGGAACGTTCACATGTTCTAAAGACCCAAGTTGGGGAACTAATATTTCAGTTGTGGATTCAACGCTTGTATTTCTTATTTATTTTTGTTTAAGAAAAAAAATATACATGAAAACTAAATATCCATTTGAAATTTGGATCGATACAAATATGTAAACACAGGTATCATGATTAGAAAAAAGAAACTAAGTTATCCAGACGAACTGGATTTTGGTAACAGCAAAGGAAACTGAAAAGCAGAGATAATGTTCACGACTTGTTTCAATAACTAGTAATAATAATTCACGATGCTGTAGTATCACCCAGTTAAACAAATGAATCACAGCCGCAGACTGGCTTAAATGAACTCCAGACGGAGAGAGCTTCACGCTACAAACAGGAGGAGCCGGGGAGCTTCAAGCGGCACGCCAACAACTTGCGCCTCAGAGCAGCCGTGGAGGTTCGATCACCTTCAGATGCAAGCGATGGCACCGTCGATGGAAGGGCAGCAGTGGAGGAGGACTGATCCGACGTGGGCAGGAGGGAATCGCGGCGCAGGATCGAAGAGATTGGAACCATGGCATTGGAAAGCGGGGAAGGTAAAGGTGTGGGGGAGAAGATCTGGCTCTCGCACTCTCACTCTCTCTCTCGCTTCTTCTGCATGAGAGCAGCGTTGATTGCTGATCGACACTGTCATAATAAGCCTGTAAAGCCTCCGTTGGTTAGCTGGAGCTTGCGCGCTGGCCAATCGCCGTGTTGTAATGGCTGGGTGGTGCGTACAGCATGCTCATTGGCTGTGTACAGGATAAGTAGGCCGGCTGGCTGCCTCAGCTTTTGCCTGCACTAGCCCTGACTGCTTGGATTCTCGTTTGGATCGCTTGGGATTGGCTACGATAAACCCATTTACTGTCGCGTTACCTGTGTGGTTTTCGATTCTATCCTTGCTGACTAGACCACGCCACTGCTTTTTCCGTCTTGGAAAGCCTTCGGACTGATATTCCCAGGCTTTGACCAACGCAGATGCGGGAGAGGAGATCGATGGAACAATAGCTCACACCAGGGACTGATTTTCTCTCCCAAACGATCTGTCCCAGGCACCGCTGCCCATAACTAACAACTTTAGAATCTTATTTTTAATGCGTTTGGGATTCCGCGAAACTAGGACTGTATGTCTATTTGGTTTGCTATCTCTCCCACTTTCCAAGCTGTCATCGAGATTCACATGCAACGAGTCGTAGCGCCGTAGCCAATATCACACCATCTCACACTGCCCACTTCACACACCGAGTTTCGTTTTGGTTATCTCTTGAAGGCCTGGAGCTTCTCGAACCCTTCTTCGCGGAGCAACCTCCTGTGACCCGTAGACGTTGCTCACCAGTGAAAATTACGGTTCTGGGAATCATAGTAACCACCCGAGATCGTCCTTGTCAGAGGTCAACCTTGTCCTCCCAACACTCCCAAGTTTTTCCAATCAACTTCCCGAAATCAACTCGACGCAGCAAGCCATCCTTTTCTCATCGAAAGATTCCACAGCAGATAGAAGGGTGTAGAATCGCGTGGGCCAAACAGGTAAGTTAGAATCACCAAGCGGAACCGAGGGAGGTTCATCTTCTGCACATGACATCGTCACGTCATCTCCACCCAAGTGACACATGGTGACCACCTATTCAAACGCCCAGGCAGCTACGGAAAACTCCGTCATCACATGGACAAGTTGTTGCATGTTGAGCTTTCTGAGAACCACATCGCACTAAAGAAATAATACCACGTCAACGACAACGACAGGGATGGGAAGGTCGAAACAACAGCATCACAAGTTGGTTTCATGGTCCGCAGCTCTGGATTGCCGACTGCTCTGTGTGAGTGTACATGCGAAACCCATGGTAGGGATGTTGCTTCGATTCCGATTCCCACGGAGTAAGGGACATAAGACGAGAGGGTGTTTCGGCCGACACCTTCAACTCTGGGCTCGAAGACCGAACCGTAATTGAACTTGCTTGTAAACATGGTTCTTGTCTGGACTATGGTTCTCATTTAGTGCACATGCTTCCTGTATGTGGATAGAATATTTCATTATAATGAATAATCATTAAAGAGTTTCAAACAGGTGATATTTCACCAGTGATACTTTTCAGGTGATATTTCACTCGTGATCAAATCACCACTTCATGAGGTGGGTGATTTTGAAATGAAAATATCAAAAAAGGCAGGTCAAATATCAAAAACCACATCACTCATCTCAACACTCTTCCTTCTTTGACTCCATACCAAGAATAATAAAGTTTGAATTTGGGAGTAATATTAGGAGGTAATAAAATTTAAACAGTGATATTTTGGATTTGATATTTTGAGTAATTCTAGAAATATCAAGTGCTAAATCTCAATTATTTAGTTTTGCAAAAGTGCCATGTTTGAAACCCCTATTGTGTTACAATTTAGTTCAAATATCAAATTATTATTATTATTATATTTGTATTTGATTTTTTCATTTTTTTTTGTGAAGGTGTAGCTTTTGTTTGTGGTTTGCTTGGGATTGATAATTTGTTGAAAGGGTTATGCAAGATTAATGTGTCAAACATAGTAAAATATTAATATGATTCTATTCCTATACAAAAGACCACATTGTTATTTGCTCATTTTTGAAGCCTTTACAATTTCTTTCAAATAAAACTTATAGGGTGCCATTAGATTTAGAATATACTTCTAATATTATCACCATATTTTAAGAATCTCTTCCAAAATTGGTTCTTTGTTCTTCCAAAGCTAAACGTACATAAGAAATCATAGATATACATATGGGAATAAATAAGAAAATAATCATTACATTAATTTTTTCCTACTTTGTTCTATATTATATATTTGATCTTTTTATCATCATAATTAATTATTATTTGGTTTAAATAATACTATTCATAAAAAATAATATGTTTAGAAAGTTTTTAATCATTTTTATGTATATTTTTCAATTTCATGCCCATGCCA